GTTAGTTGATCTTTATGGCCTTTTTCTTTCCTCAGTTTCATTCATTTGATCACAAAAAGGCAAATATATTATATAAAGAATGGTAGAATGTCTTGAATAGTAAAATATATTTCAAAGATTAAATAATTTATTTATTTTTCTATATAAAGATGAATGCCATCTCCTAAGCATTTTAATAAGTATTACTCTCTGAAAATCACTATGTTAAGACCTTTGGGATATACAAAACAAAAATAGTCTTGTGCTCAAGGAACTCATGTTTTATTGAGAAAACTAAAATAAGTAAATACCAGCCAACTCAGAGGTGAGGAAAATACTAACAAGTGTTTGTATTGGGGTAGACTTTGAATAGGAAGTGGCTCTTGAGCTCAGTCCAGAAGGAAGCTATGGATTCTGAGAAACATAGGTCCTTTTAGTCATGGAGGACAATTTGTGTAATAGAATGAAGGCTGGAGATAGCATGTTGAGTTTGGGGAACAATTAGTAGTTCAGTTGGGCTGGAATTTAGAGTGCTTGAAAGGAAATACTATGAAGTAAATCTGGAACTGTGGATGAGGGAATATTGATTGATTAAAATGGCAGGTTATATGGTATTTATTCTAGAGGCAGTAGGGAGCCCCTAAATATTGTTGAGAAAGGGAGTGAGATTGTCATATTTTGGTCTCTGAGGATGGAAGTAGGGAAGACAAATAAAAGCTAAGGCAGTAATCCAGGTGAAAACTGATGAAGGCTTGAAGCAGGATGATGGCTTTGTGAATGGAGAACATGGGACAAAAAAGGAATGTTATGAAGGTTGAATCAGCAGTATTTAGGAACTGTTTAGTATAATTGAACTGCCCAGTCAAGGTGTGGGTGATGGACTGAGAGAACAGGAAAGATAAAGAAACTTGCAGTTATAAAGAAGATGAACAATAGAGATTTTTGAGGAATGAGTCAGAGGTAGAGATGGAAGCACAGTTATATAAGAAATTTCAGAATTCATCATCGTGGAAGCAGAGATCTTAATAGTCTGTGTGGGATGGCTGAGGTAGCATGAAGATAAAGATCATAGGATGTAAAGTGGAAGACTCTATGTGAATATAGAAATCCCTGAGTTATAAGGGCAAGCAGCAGGGGTTGAGAGGAACGCTGAGCCAGGTTCTCAGTTCCTTGAGAAAGCATGAGAGGATGTAGGCTGGAATCTCATTAAGGACTGTAATGAAGATCTGGATATGGTGAAATAGTCTGAACCCCCTAGAAGTTGCTGAGTGATGGCAAAGGTATGGTCTAGAGGTAGAAGTGAGTAACATTCCTCCTGATCCATTATATTCATGTTCATGAAAGCTGGAACACCTAGCACTTGAAAAAGGTTTCTAGGGGAGAATGGTTCAGGAAAACCAATGAAAAGAAAAGCCCTGATAATATAAGAAAAAATAAAATTGATTATATTTTAACAGACAGAATATGACTCATTACTGATATGGGAGTCATTCCTGAACCACTTCTCTGTCTATTTTTAGGCAGTCACTTTCTTAGAGTAAAGGTAGAAATCAGAGCTAGAAAAAAAGAATAACAATGAGAAAAAGAACAATGTGGGCAATCAGAAGAGTGCAGTAATATAATTTTGTTTGTAAAATCTTATAGAAAAGGATGTTGTAGAGAAATAATTTTGGCTCACAAAACAGTAGCTGTAGAAATTAATAATAACTTAAAGAAGTTTGGAAAGAGACCCACCTTTGTGTAGTTTTTCCTAGGAAATTTATAGAAAAAGTGAAAAGACAACAAGCCGAAGAAAAATGAAAATAATCTGCAAGGATTTTTTGTCATCAAGGACCATAGAATCACCACACCAGACTCTTAAAATAGTGTTTAGAGCTTGATGTGTTCATACAGGTGACAGTAACAGCATTAAGAAGAACAAAGATGGCAAATAATGCTGGCCCAGTGTCTAAATATTTATAGAAGGGACCTCTGCTAGAGCTGACAAACTTTTGAAAGCATTGTGAGATTGATTCACAAGGTATCTGAAAGAAAGGAAGATATCAAAAGTATGGAAAACCATCATAGGCCTTACCAAAAACACCCAGCAAAACTTGAACAGCTACTGACTCAAAAAAAGTTTTCACGAGAATTTTCTACACACACTTAAATTAAGGACATTCTTGATAATGTATTTGTAGATATCAGGTAGTGATATTCCTTAATAGATCATATTTTGACTGTTACAGTTGTCTAAAACGTAGAGAATGCCAGATCCCTCTGAACTTACTCTTTTTGTTTCTTTTTTCCATTAACAAAAATTTATGTTGTTTCCTGATATTTAATTGAAAAAACCAAACCAAACCAAAAACCTTTTTAATGCATATAGTCAAGCAAAACAAATTCTCAAATTGTCCATGTCCAGAAATATAGGTCTCATTTTGTATCTTGAATCTACTACTTCTTTGTCAAGAATTAGGTAGCTGATTCTCTGGAGTCATGGTTGGCCACTGCATTAATCAGAGATCCATGAAAATAGTTTGTTTTTACATTATTGTTGTTGTTTAGATTGTTCTTCTGGCTCTCTTCACTTTGCTCTGAATCAGTTCATACAAGTATTCCCAGAAACAATCCTTGTTCTCATTTATTTCAACATAGTGTTATTCCGTTAAATTAACTTCTCATAATTTGTTTAGCTATGCATACACTAACTTATGGAGATGTTCATCATTCTCAGTTCTTTGCCACTGGAAAAAAAAATTGCTATGAATATTTTTGTTCATACAAGTCCATTCCCTCTTTTTGATCTCTTTGGGGTATAACTCTATAGTCATAGTATTGTTGGGCCAAAGGGTAGTGAGTTTTGAAATTTCTTGCCAGAATGACTCTACCAGTTTGTTCTGACCTCTACCAGGCAGCACAATGTTACATGACTTACAGGCCTATATCTGTGGAAAAGTTTATTTGTGCTACTCCCTCATTAGGTAATGTTTCCTTATTCCTCTTATCAGTAAGTCAGTCAACTAGCATTTATTAAGCTCCAGCTTTGTGCCAGGTACTGTAGTAAGTGCTAGGGATACAAAGACCAGGAAAAGATAATCCCTGCTCTCAATATGCAAACAATTACATATACAATTGTTGTATTCAGGATAAATTGGAAATAATTAACAGAGGGAAGGCACTAGCAATAAGAGAAATTGGGAAAGGCTTCTTGTGGAAGGTGGGACTTTTGCTGAGACCTAAAGGAATCCAAGGAAGCCATGAGGTAGAGATGGGAAAGGAGAGATGTTCCAGGCATGGAGGATAGACAGTGAAAAAGCTTAGAGCCGATAGATGGGAGTTTTTTGTGCTAGGAACAGCAAGGAGCTCAGTGCCACTGGATTGTTGAGTAAGTGCTGGGATATAAAGTTTAAGCTTGAGAGGTAAGAGTGTGCTAGTATGCGGAGGGCTTTATTAGCCAAAGAGGATATTGGATCCTGGAAGCAGTAGAGGTTTATTTGAATTGAGGATTTATTTGAATGGGGGAGTGACATGGTCATAACTGTGCTTTATAAAGATAAATTTGACAGTTGAAGGGTGCATGGACTTGAGTCAGGGACACCAGTGGGTAGCTAAACAATAGGTTAGGTATAAAGTAATAATTGTTTTAACCAGGTGGTGGAGATGTCAGAGGAGAAAATATAAGATGCTATGAAGGTAAAATTGAGAGGTCTAGGAAACACATTAGATATGGGGGGATGGGATGACATAGAATGAGGAATTGAAGGTGATATCTAGTTTGTGAGCATGGGTGACTGGGAGATGGTGGTACCCTTCATAGTAATAGGGAAATTAGGGAGAGGGTAGATTTTTTGGGAAATATATATATGAATTCAGTTTTTGAAATGTTGAGCTTAAGATGTCTACAAGAAAATCTAGTTGATATACTTCCCTCTAACTTTTCATAATAATGTACTTTCCTGGTTCTCCTCCTACCTATCTAGTCTATCCTTCTTAGTCTTTTTTTGGTGGGTCCAGTAGGCATTTTGAAGATTTTGAGACTGGGGATCAGAAGAGACATTAGGGCTGGATAAATAAGTCTGAGAGTCATTTGTATAGACATGATAATTGAATCTTTTGGAGCTGATGAATCCACCAAGTGAAATAGTATAGAGGGAGAAGAAAAGAAGGCCCAGGACAGAGCTTTGGTGGAGAGGAATGGCCACAGTTAGGAGGCAAGAATGATGAACCTGGAGAAAATAAGGAATGGTTACCTAGGTAGGAGGAAAAGTAGAAGAGAAGTTTCAGAGGAGAGTATATTCAGAAGCAAGATGTAGTCAATAGCATCACATGGATGAAAACTAAGGAAAAGTTATTTGATGAATCAGTTAAGAGATTACAGGAAACTTTTGAGAGGTCAGTTTCATTTGAGTGATGAAGTTGGAAGCCGGATTATGAGGGGCTAAGAAGTAAGAGGAAAAGAATGAAGAAAGCAAAAGAGGCTGAGATGGGGTGATCATACAGGTAGGAGAAAAAGGCAAGAGCATTGTTAGGGAAATCTAGAAAGAAGAATGTATGAAGTATAGTGAGATGTTCAAGTGTGTCAGACACTGTGGAGCAGTTAAGAAAGATATGCATTGACAACAGGCCATTAGATTTAGCAAGTAAATAATAATCTGTAATTTTGGAGAGAGTACTTTTGAGAGAATAATGAAAGGTGAAGAGGGAGCTCTTGATGAATTCATTTTTTTTCAGTGAAATAACATACAAGGTACTCAACTGGGAGTGGGGAGTATAGTGAGCCATGAGAGCTTTGAGGAGGGATGAAAAGATTGCAAAAAGCTGCTGTAGTGACTGGGATGGTAAATAAATTAAGAAATTGTAAAGGGATTGTCTTGCTACAGGGAGGGCCCAGTTGAAATTATGCACCATGATTTTGTAGTCAGCCAGTCAGCACAGTGTCATGATTTTCTCCAGCTTCATTCAGCAGTATGAGTAGGATGTAAAGGTAACAGATGGTGGAGTACTTTAAGACTTAGGTTTGGCAGAGCAAGATTGGCAAT